CAGTAGTCTTGTGTGGTGGAGGAACCACCGTTTTCTCCGCCCCGTAACAACGCCTTCTGCTGACCCCTCCACCAGTGTTGAGTCCCATACCCTCCCCAGTGATCAAGTCCCTCCACGCTCAGAACGAATACAAAAGAAAAGGTCCGCTCAAGACTTTGCTATGAGCGTATAGGGGGGAGGGAGGTGTATGTATATTATGTATGCTGTATGTATATTATGTACGTGCCCCATTTATATACATTATTTATTCAGCCTAGCTAGCAGCATGTGGCAATGTATTTACCATGTCCCACACGCTTAATTAATGTGCCTGGGGACATATGGAAGCTGCTAATGTATCACTTGCCACATGTCGCCTGAGAGGCCAGTTGACCCCCAGACAGAGTAGGGAGAGCCGTTTCACTTGTGTATCTCTGTTTGTCCAGTAAATAGAACCTACGAAAACTCTACAGGTGTTTGTGTTCGCTCCTGTAGATAGAACTTGGTACCCAGAACATATACATTCACAAATTGTGCTAAAGACTTATGTCGTACTTCCTTTAATTTGAGGTATGATCCAAAAGTTCTGGGACTGGCTTCATAAAATCTTTACTTTAGAAGATATTACAGTTTGTTCTTCATTTACGCGGTCAATTGAACCCGTGGAGTACCGCGTAAAACAAGAAACGCGTAAATGAAATTACAGAACATATGGGATTAATTGAAATAGAGACTGGGCGGACCCCCAAACTCCACTTTTTCCAACGCAATACGTACCTTGTAGTCAAAATAACATCTTAATTTTATGATGGTATGCACACACACACAATAAATAATTAGGAGAAATATCAATAATATTAGGTTTTTTAACACTTACCTTAGTAGAAAAGACGGCTGGGCACACGGGGATGGGAGGTTGGTTCCGAGGCAGAGGGCAGATTATTGGCCCTCACCTGTATCACTTGTATCAATTGTATCACTATCCACCACATAGGCTTGCAGGGCCTCTTTGTCAAACTCCTCAAAGTCCATATCCTCACTGTCACTGACTTGGGCCGGCTGTGGTGGGTGGCGGGTGAAGAACTCAGCAATGTTTTGATGACTGGGCGACCTTGTGCGCACCCTGCCCACGCCGCTTCCCGCGTAAATGACCAAATTTACAGCGTAATTAAAGCATTTCAATTCTGGCAAGGCACCGCGTAAATGACCAAACGCGTAAACAAAAACGGAGTAAATCCAGACTCAACTGTACAGTGAAACTTTAGTTGCCCTCAAAATATTCCCAAGAGGCCTCAATGCGGCGCTGAATCTGCTCCTCCCACTCCCACTGGAAGCAAATTTGGAATTCCTTGTTGGTGAGGCTAGAGAGCACCTGAGATGTGACCTGGATCTCCTTTCTGTCCATGAACTTCTTCCCTTTGAGGTTCAACTTGAACTTCGGAAACAGCCAGAAGTCACACAGGGCCCAATGTGGAGAGTATGGAGGGTGGGGGACCACTGGGATGCCATGCTTCACCAGAAAATCATTCACAGAGAGGGCAGTGTGCACAGGTGCACTGTCCTGGTGAAGCAACCCATTGCCGATCGTCAGTCAGAATCCAGTTAACATTTCCAAATGAGAGGTCCAATCGCTTGGCAATCTTGCGGATGGTCACCCTAGATCTTCATAGACAAGCTGGTAATTTTTCTGTACATTTTCAACATTCCTCTCAGTGGAAGGCCACCCAGAGTGATGCTCATTTTCAAAGGAAGTGCATCCTACTACTTTGAAGAGCTTGTGCCACATGAAAACTTGAACCTGAGTAGGCTTCCTTGACCATTTCATAAATTTATGCACCATTTTTTTATAATCTGAAGCAAATCTGATGGCGCAGCATTGCTCGATATTTCCCCTCCATGTTGAGGGTAGAGTGGCGACTGACTCGACTTAGCAGATGGGCAAATACACACACTCACACAAAGCTGCAGCATGGCCGGTTGGTGCCACAAAATCCTGCCAAATCGACGCAGTAAACCACTTATAACCAAGGTATATAACTGTTGATGATTCAAATTCGATATATGCCAAGAAAAAGGTTTTATGAAGCCAGTCCAGGAACTTTTGGATTATACTTCGTATTTTACTAGCATAAGCTCTTTCCTGATTGAACTCCAGAAAATATTAACAAGGATGCCGCCTATTTTGACACAAAGCCCTATTTTTGGCTGCTATGGCCACTCTGCATTCTTTAGACCACCATGAGACTGGCCACTTTTTAAAAAACCCAGAGGTCTTCAGGATGGTTTGTTCACCAACACTAATGAATGTCGAGGTAAATTATTCCACCACTTCCTCTGTCGTCTGGAATTTTTCCTCATCTCTTTCTACCTCAGCTAGGAGTTTGAAATGGCCCCAGTCAGCCCTGTACAGACACCAGCGAGGAAGATGGTTACGGCAGATCACATCCATGCTTGCTGCTGCAGAACAAAAGGAGGTCTATGACAGAGTGGGTTCTTGTCTGCACATGGAAATGGGTTGGGGCACTGGTGTTCAGGGAGATCCAGATCCTATACCACAGACTGCAACATGGCACCTCGTGGATTGGTCACGTTGTCTCCCACAATCTACTCCTTCCATTCAGATCCCCCCAAATTACGAATGGAGGAGGAAGCTCCCCAATTAGGTCAATTGAGTCTGTCTTGGACACTGGTGCACAAGGAGGAAGGTATGGTGAGCAGACAGTGTACACCCTTCTTAAATGGAGGCAAGCAGCCAATGCCTCTAGGGGAGAACACAACCATAAAGTGGTGAATGGAACATTCAAGAAGGTGGAGACAAAGATGATGCTGCCTTCATGATGACCACCATCTCCTATTGGGTCAGAATATATGGCTTGATAGCAAGTAGGAAGAGGATAGTGGCCTTCACCAACCATCGTCTCCTGCAAACACACACAAACTGGCGAGAGATGAGAGAGCAAAAGGGCAAGAGGCTGTCAATTAGCATTTAACCCTTGGCTGTTCCAGTGCATCAGAGTGAAAACTATTTATGTTGACTTCTGCCATGACGCTAGGGGTTTTCCAGAGAGTCTTTGACTTTGATAGGGAAAACTGACTTTGAGGTAGGGGAATGACTACGTTTACCTGAAATCTTCAGCAGCCTAGTGGACAATGATGATGATGCCAAATGACTGGCCCAGAGGCCAGCCATAATGACCAGCCAATTGACTTGATCGGGCCGCAAGCCAAGCCTTCCGTCTAACTTTACGGATTGCCACATAAGAGCTATTCTACAGCCCTGACTGACTGGGCCTGAGGAAAGGTGCCACTAGCAAGCTCTCAAGGCTAGCAGCACAAGAGAACCATTTAGTCTTGTCCCTCCTTGATGACCATTCCAATATGAGAAACCCTTTCCTCCTTGAGGAAGAAGAGGGAGGACCAGCCCCCCCCCCCCTTTGGAATGTCTCATCAGATGACAATTGATGCCTGAGCTTGGCTGGCTGACTCAGGTAAGACCATCATGATGTCAACATTACAGAGGAACCATGTATACCTGGTGTGAGGTCATGATAAAGCAGCGACCACTTGTCATCAAAACTGCCCAAGTATTATCTCATAGTTAGTAAAATTAAAAATTTTCAGACATACAGTAAACCCTCGATAACTCAGCACATATGGGGCTCTGGCCTTGCCGAGTTATCCCAAATTCCGACTTATCGAGGCACTTCCCCTCTCCTACAAAAATACAACAATAAAAAATTATCGACCCATATAATTATGTGTACATGTAATTACTAAATATAAAAAAGTAACACTTATCAGAACTGCAGGCAAAGAATGAAGCATCATATTAGGTGACACAGAGGCATGGTAGGTGACGCAGGTGGCCAGATATGCCGAGATTTTCCCAGATAATTTTATATATCTCGGCATTTCCTGAGTTATACTAATACATTCCGAGACCATATCCATGCCGAGTTACATGAAATTCCGAGTTATCAAATGCTGAGTTATCGAGGGTTTACGTCACTTAACTAATCGTGTTTTTTTGTTTTTTATAACTTGTACTGTATGCTATTTAGGTAACTGTAAAATTTGTGTAGTACAATATGACACATAATTATAATCACTATATAATATTTGCTAATATTATAATTCATAAATGAAAATTAGAGCAAAACAAATACTGTATAGCAGAAAACTGTGAGCTCACTACCATTGAGGAAGATATTTTTTTTTTATCTACGCCTGCTGCACTGGAAATTATTGACATTAATAAGTGTGCTTCAAAAACCTGCTACAATGAGTTGATTCATACCAGAATGTCACTTGTAAAACCAAGTTGTAGTGGAAATGTGAGAAAAGATCCAGCGGTTGCTGTAGGCAGGCCCGGATTATCCATTAGGCACAGTAGGCACAGTGCCTAGGGCCTACGAGATATTGGGGGCCTACAAAAAATAATACGAGAACTTTTCTTCCTCTTTTTCTACAGGTTATTATTAAATTGATACTGAGGTACTTTTTTTCCATTTATTTATTACTTAATCCTATTAGTGTCCACCAGCTAGCTGTGCTTCTTGTAAACAAAACTATTTCTGTACTGTACAAGAACAGCTGATCTAACCCATTTTCTTTTACTCAATTCATGGCAAACATCACTGAATCTTATTCTTTCGACATCACATTTTATAATTAGGTACTAGCTTGTGTTATTAGTGAATATGCTGTCAAATGGGGCCCCATATCTTGGAGGTGCCTAAGGCCTACGAAAGTCTTAACCCGGCACTGGCTGTAGGGGCAGTATGACGACAAACTTTGTTTCAATTCTTGTACAAATATACCTATAATGCCATGATATATCATGTTGTCAGTCTATGGAAGTCATGTATTGTCAATTAACAAATGCTTTAAAATGTATTTCGCTTCATTACTTTACTTGTTAACGATATTTAAATAAATTGTGATTTTTTTGTGTGACCTTTTTCCTGGCAAAAACTGTGACTTTTTATGACAAATGCATTAAATATTAAACATATGCATACCTTGCAAATGTGGTCCCTTGGCATCTGTAATGTGATCTGGACAACAACCAAATGCTGACGACAAGCAACATCCTTCCATATTTTCTCCATGTGCAGAAGTAAAATTATCTGGGCAGCAACCAAATGACGAGTAAACACAGTCAGGAGGAAGTTCTGTTGTTGTTGTTGGTGAAGTTGTTACTGTTACAGTTGCTGGTGTAGCTGCTTCTGAAATTTAATAATGGTACTTCTTAAAAATAGCACGTCTCTTTGAACTGATTTTACAGGAAATATCCTTGTTGCATGGTAAAATGCAGAGGTACAATGAATGGATGGCATGATATAATCAATAATTCTGAAGTATCTTAATACAGTATTGGGTACTAGATTTTAACAATAAACCATTTCCAATGTGAAATATTGTGTTATTAGCCAATTACAATATTTCCTGTCATCATAAACCAACAATCACTTGAAATTTTCTCATGCATACATATAAAAATTGTGCTTGTTGCAAATGTTAGTGAATGAGTTTGGAAAAACAGGTAATTGGACAAAGTTAATGAATGAGAAAAAAAAAGCTTTGAAAACAGGAGAAAAATAAATAAATTCCCTTCCAGGGAAAAGACAATTAGTTGATATGAGAGAAAGGGAAAACTAAATGTCAGTTTGAATAAAGATAGAATGAAAATATTGCAGTGTTTCAGATTATCTTTGAGCAAATGCATCTGTATATGGAACACTGAGTAATGAACTGGATCACAGAGTAGTACTGTAGATGCAATGAAGTAATTGAGGTTTCAGAATATACAGTATATGAGTGAATGCATTAGTAAATGGAAATCTAAGTAATGCAGTTAATTAAAGAGCGTTATATATACATAGGTACATACATTTCTACTTTGTTTTGATATTATTGTATCTGTTTTGTTTAATTTTGTTGATGTCCATTTATCTGCTTATGTTAATATTTGTTTCATTTGTTTTTGTTGTAGGATGCTTGAATTCTTGTAGAATAAAGCCTAGGTTGAATTTTTGTTTCTCTTATGGGCCTACTACAATAAACAATTGCCTACTACACAGAGTACATAGTAGATACTATAATAAGAAAGTAACAGGGGCTTTGAGAAACATAGAGTATGAAATATGTGTTAAAGGAGGCAAAGTTGTAAGTGCATGGAGGAATAAATGAACCAGTTACTATCGAGGTGTGAAGCATGAACTGAAAAAGCAAGAGTGACTGCAACAATGTGCTTGAGAGCAATATATTGGGTGCATAGGATGCAGAGAATTAGAAATTAAGATTTGTATAACTCAGAGGCAGAAGATAGGTGGGAGAGGACAGGACCAGATTGGAAAGGTCATGGCCGATTTAACTTCCAGAGGTTAATTGATAGTGCAAAAGCTAGTGTTAGTTGTGAGGAGCTCTGTGCCCCCTTGAAAGCTGAGCTAGTGAAGGTCAAGGGCAAAAACTTGAGGTTAAACGAAGTGATTGTGAGGATGAAGGAGGAAGATACAAGATGGGAGAGGCTGTGTCTGACAACAACACAGGCCAATGGAGGGTAGTGAAGAGACGAATAACGAAACTGGTGGTGACAAAAGACAACAAGGAAGCGACAACAGCCAAGTGAAACATAGTCAAAGACAAGGCTGACAACTTCTACAGCAGAAGCGATCTTTATGCTAGGGATGGAGTACATTTACCTATGGATGGGGTGGCAACTCTGGCTGGTTCTCTCGAGAGGGTAGTTCAAAAGATGTCAAAGAATTTAAACTGCTATGGGAACATGTAAGCATGGGGCATGGATAAACAAAGTGAAAGGTTGCAGAGAAATTGTGCTTGGAACGATGACAAAGCTAAATTAGGCAGTGCGTTAAAACCTAAATGTGAGAGAGTGAAAGAACTCAGATCACGACTAACTTAAATGTTTACTACGCAAACAGTAGAAATATGAGAAATAAAATGGATGAAATAAGGGCATTGGTATGTACTGAAAAAATCGAAATGATAGCATTCATCGAAACATAAATAAACTTAGACCCACGTGAGTTACCTCTCGAATACCAAATTAAAGGCTACAATGTTTTTCATATCATAGGCAAATTAGGAAAGGAGGTGGGGAAGTAATCTATGTCAGGGATAATTTGAAGTGTGAAATCAATAAGGAAATAAAAACTGAACCGAATACAGAAAAATTTTAATATAATTAACTGATGGTAGGGAAAAATTAATCAAAGTAGTAACATATAGACTTCCTAATTTCGATAGGGCTAATGAGCAACTTAGTTGGGATGAAATATATAGGGCAACCTGACATAGCAAAGTCTGTATAGTAGTTGACTTTAACTTTAGTCAAATAGAATGGACTGACCTTACGGGTAACTCTGAATCAAAGGATTTTCTTGAAACAGTTCAGAATTGTTTCCTAAGCTGAAAACCTCATTAGTAATCATCGATGTAGGAAACGAACTAGCTAACAGTGACTACAAAGAAGTGAGATTCAAAGTAGAACTTGATTATCAGTAGCAAGGAAAATTTCATAGAAGTCCCAGATTTCAGAAGAGCAAACTTTGATAGGTTGAAAAGGCAGCTGAGAGAAGGAGTATTACATATGGGGGCGAATTACATGAATTCACAGTACAGTGGAGTCTGCATTTACGCAGCTTTTGTTTCAGCGTTTGGTCATTTACGGGGTGCCTTGCCAGAATGAAATGCTTTAATTACGCGGTAAATTTGGTCATTTACGCGGGTGAAGTATAATTTATTTACTGTATTTACTGAAGATATTTGTTTTAGCTCATAAAATTCATACAAATTACCCAGGCAGAATATAATTTACATTGCTGGAATTCTTATAAGATTGTCATTATTTTAAATATAAACATCATGGAATTTGCATTAGACATACAAATTTTAGATCTAATGTAAGAATTTTGATTAGAAAGAGCAAAAATTTTATCTTTTGTGCAAAATATATGACGTGTATATTCAAAATATTCCTGGTCTTGCAAGGAATCCAGCAATGTCAATTATATTATCCTAACTTTAGTCTGAGGTATTATTTATTACTAAAAATGTAAGCCTACTGTTTTCACCCAAACTTTTCACTGGTCGGGAGGGAAGGTGAGGGGTAGGGAGGGAGGGAGGGAGGGACCCAGCGAGCGTGGGAAGAGGGGGGGAGTGGAGGTGGGGTATTTTGATTGACAGATAGTGTCTGGGTGAAGTATAATTTGTTTATTTACTGAAGATATTTGTTTTAGCTCATAAAATTCATACAAATTACCCGGCCAGAATATAATTTACATTGCTGGAATTCTTATAAGATTGTGATTATTTTAAATATAAACATCATGGAATTTACATTAGACATACAAATTTTAGATCTAATGTAAGAATTTTGATTAGAAAGAGCAAAAATTTTATCTTTTGTGCAAAATATATGACATTTATATTCAAAATATTCCTGGTCTTGCAAGGAATCCAGCAATGTCAATTATATTATTCTAACTTTAGTCTGAAGTATTATTTATTACTAAAAATGTAAGCCTACTGTTTTCACCCAAACATTTCCCAGCGAGCGTGGGAAGAGGAGGAGGGGGGGGGTCCATTAACCAGGAGACTGTATTTCTCTTAAATATTAATTGTGTGTGCATACCATCACAAAATTAAGATGTTCTTTTTACTACAACATACATATTGTGTCGGAAAAAGTGGAGTTTGGGGGTCGGCCCAGTCTCTATTTCAATTAATCCCATACGTTCTGTTATTTCATTTAAACGTCTCTCGTTTTACGCAGGCCTCCACGGGTTCAATTGACAGTATAAATGCAGACTCCACTGTATGTGGTACATAACGTGAGCTCACACAATGTACCCACAGAGGGTGACCTCACTTTACCTGGTAACCTGACAACAATAACCTCACAAAATATGACCGCTGAGGGTGACCTGACCACGAGATAGATGAGGTTGACGAGTTCCATAACAATTTAAATAATGAGTTACTGAATGCACAAAAACAGATTATGCCATACAGAAAACTCACATCAAATAACAGTGACCCTAAATGGATAAATAATTATTTAAAGAATATTATTGGACAGAGGAGTGCATACAGTATGTAGAATAAATTGTGGTGACATTTAACTGAGATTATTTTAAATTATTGGCCAGTAGGCAGAGTTGTAAACTAACTAAATAAATTCACTTGAGTACTGTACTCAAGTAACATTTTTGGGTATGTATTTACTTTTTAAAAAAGAACTAAAATTTTCTAGTACTTTTACTTCAACTTAAGTATGTTTTATTTTACTCCAATATGACAGAAAAACAAAAATCACACTCGTTACATGACCCAAACAAAGAGTTTTAACGTCAGTGGCAAACTAATATTATTTAATTAATTAATTATTAATCAAAGTAGAAGAGTTGTGTAGGTGGAGGGTACGGTGTGGGTGGGTGAGGTACCTCATGTCAGGTCAGGTGGCAGTGGCCATGACAGCGGACTTTCCCTTTGATCTTCTTGTGTCCATCACTCACCTAGCCTACCTTCTTATCTTCCCATCAGATCCCCTGTCTTCACCCCCACCTTTCCTTCAGGGGCTCGGTCTGTGCATATACCTTTACCTACAATTAATTTCAAAGAGGCTGTGATTCTAAAATGCTTTATATAATTCCAACTTAGATATAAATACTGTATCGATACATATGTGTGAGACTGAGTGTATTTAAAATTCTGTTTAAATAACTAAGTACCACTGCCCCCCAACACCCGCCAGATGTTACGTGGTGAGAATGTTTTAGCCACTAATCAATTAGAATCGAAAAGTGAAGTCACCACAGCCACACCCCAATTAGAAAGACAGTTCACAGAGAGTCTTACTCAGACTCAGTCACTATGGAGGCAACAATCATCCACTAACTCCTCAACTGAAGGAGTTTGATAGCTACTTAGCATGTCCAGGGGATGGAATGGAGCTATTGGTGTCTTTCCCAACATTATGTGACTTATCTCTGAAGCTTAACATCCCACTACAGGTTGTGCCTCTCTAGTCCAGCATTCTGTGGTCCGGAAACTCCCGTGGTCTGGAACGATTTTAGTTTGTCCAATAGGTAGATTGGCAGGTTCTTTTTTTTTTTACTTATCTGAATTATTATTATTATTACAGGAGTATTAAATTTTTGCCCTTCAGGCCCCAATGTGGGTCAGTGACCTATGCCCGGGTGGG